TTTAATAAAATTTAAGCTGCCCCATTTTTTACCGATCACCCTAATATATCATCTGAAAGCTCTTGATGAGAAGAATCTAATCAATGAAGTGGCAACATGGGTCATGCAGTTCTGAAGAAGTTATGAGCTGTTAAATTTCAAAAAGCGCTTTTTTACCTGCTTTTTTAAGACTCTGGATCTCGGCACTGTTTCAGTGAATCGGTACTGAAGATATATTCAGATAAGGCAAACCTTACTCTACAAAACCTGTGAAGTCGCAACATCACGTACTTTCACATTCAATACGTATATGAGTTTGACTGTCAGCTGTCAAAAAACACGCAAAAATGGCGTAAATTTTTAGAATTCTGGTTTTCAACGACTATCGCCCAAATCCACTCGATTCTTCCACTGTCTGAAAGAGCACCATTTACTCTTTGAAACCTATGAAGTCGCAACTGCTGACATCTTCAAACAACAGATTTATAACAGTGGAAATTTTGCATGATTTTTCACTATTTAATTATTCAAAATTCTGGTTCTCGGCCGTTACTGCCTGGATCGATCTACTTTCTTAGCTGCATATAACAAAATTCAGTTGATAAAATAAGTACAGTTCCGCTGAGTTTTGCTTCCAAATACACCATTTACACATTTACTGAACACCTTTATTTTAAATATATATGCCGCCGCATACATAAAAATATGTTTTTAATGATCCCTTCTGCATTTGTTTTGCTTATTTTCCGCGCAATGGCGGTAACGATCTGGAAGGATAGACGTTAATGCTCGCCACCCCCCCCCCCTCTCCGGCCGACGTTTTTGGGAGGTGGGTGTCCGGCACTATCACCTTCATTTTTGCCGGCCAGTGGTAGCTGGGACCACCTTCACTTTTGGTGAGCCCGGCTCCCCCCATCGCACCTCTGCGAGTATTACTAAAGCAGAGACGGTGTTGAAGCAATTAAACGAAGTATGAAAGAAGATCGGATTGCGAATAAATCGGAAGAAGACTCAGTTCATAAAGAACGCCTTTTGCGAAGATGCAAAAATGGAACTGGAAGGCGCTCCTATTATGGAAACGTCTTCTTACGTGTATCTGGGACGTTCGATGAACATGGAGACCGACTTGAGGGAAGAACTTAACAGAAGAAGAAAAACAGCCTGGGCCGCCTTCGGGCCCCTGAAGGAAGCCACCGATCATCTGACGGACCCGGAGCTTCGTGGCCAGTTCGACTCAACCTTCTCCCGGTGCTCTGTTACGCAGCTGAGACTTGGGCCGACACTGTAACCACGTCGAAAGTTGTACCGACCACCCACAGGGCGCTCGAGCGCAGTCTTTTGAAGATGACTCGACACAAGCAACATTTAGTCGGACTTCGCGCACGGATAAGAGAAAAATATCCCGCCTTCGTGACCAAGCGGATTACGTTGCGAAAGCAAAGCATTGATGGGCTCACATTATGAGAAGAACAGACGAAAAATGGACACTAAGAAAATCGGAGTGGATTCCCACGAAACGAATCGTCCTTGAGGAAGACCTACAACGAGATGGGCAAACGTTTTCATAAAACGGATGGACCAGCTGAGAAATTAGCTGGATACAACTATCGCACCTGAAACTCGTGGATGCAGCCGTCGACGGCAACCAAGAAGTTCGTGGATGTCTGAAGCGAGGGACAGGAACAAATGGAAACTTTTGTGCTGAGACTCGCACGTCACGTGAATAGGGGCATCTATCTAATTAAGTAAGTAGCTAACTTTTTGAGATAAAGTTAACCATGTTTGAAAAGGTCACTTCACTTGGATAGCCCAATTTTGAGAACCCTTAGAATTCGCTAAAACTGGCACACACTAATTATTTGACATGGTTTTTGCGACTATCTTACTAGTCATGCTTGGCAGAGCCTTCATGTCATGCCTACAGTGGGAAACAACAACGTTGGGGAGGAGAAGGGGTACCAATACAGGATTTATGCCCGTATGCACGTAATCCCCGCTGGGAAGGGGAGGGGGTCTGAGAGGGGATGCGTCATATCTCGCTACTCTAGGTATCTTTCTTCTTTTCTTCCTATCTTGCTTATGAAGGTTCTCATTCCCTAATACCTGCACATAATTGATGCCAGGTTACTGGCATAATTGATTAGATTTTCACTATTTTGTGTGATCCCTTGGGAATCCCCTCTCAATTTCAATGCCATTTATCTTCCTAACTCAATGAAATGCTGTAAAATTGTACTGTGGATACACTACGGCACTGCTGAAGATGTTTACAGCAGAAATAAGTGTAATCTCAGAATATCAAAATCTTCGGTAATCCCTAGCTCGCGAGCTAGGGATCATCGAACAATTCATAATTATCAGATTTCATTTCTCCTGTCGAAAACATGCTTAGCGGTGCCGTAGTATATCCTCAGTACAATTTCACAGCATTTTCATTGACTTCTCAGGAAGATAAATCACTTTGAAAACGGGAGGTGATCCTCAAGAGATTCCCTGGGGATCCTCTGAGAATTATACAACATGGCAAAAACCAAACTTGTATGGAAGTAACCTCCATTATGCGCAGATATGAGTGTTTAAAAAACTTTATAAGCAAGATAGAGAAAGAAGAAGAGAGATTTGTAGAGTAGCGAGATATGACGTATCCTCTCTCAGATGCTCCCCTCCCCGGCGGGGACGTACGTGCATACGGGCCTTAGAGAGGGGGAGGGATTATATCCTGCAGTTGTGTGCTACACCTTTTGCATGATCCGGGTCATAATCGTCAGTATTTAAGCTTTTTAAACTCTGATATATCGGAGACAGTTTTCTTGAGCTTAACGTACTACAGCTTTATTTTATTTGAACGCCCTTTTGTAGTGCATATAAACATTCTAACGACAATGGTGAATCCTTTCATCAAAGAAGTGCAAATTTCGTTGGCAAGAAATGTTCATAACTTCTTGCGGAAGAGCGCACAGCAGATACCGAAAGCAGAATCAAAATTAGCGCTTCAGGATGCATTCAATGGTATAGGCCTTATCTCAAAAAGCCAAAGTCACAAGTATCCTTATCCTTCCCTTATGTAAGATATATTAGGCTGTTAAGAAATTTCCCGGGCATTAGCGGAAATTTTTTTGCAAGCGGCTGTATTCATGCAGATTGATCCTTTTTGAGAGCTGCGAATTCCCTGCAAAGAACATGTTGCCTACAAGATATTTGTCTTTATTGAGTCCTCAGCACTCCATTTCGGACCACCAGCATGCGGAAAAAGGAAAAAGCGTGACTTAAGCGTGACTGACCCATCATAGGTGCAACCGTCCTGCTTATGCATGATTTTTCAGGTTCAAAGAGAGCTGGAGAGCTTAAATACAGTAGCTATACAAATACTACCAGAGCTGTTGACAGGGCGAATCAGAACTGTAGGGCGCCTCTTGCAGAAAATTTTTTACCAGAAAGTATGAAAATTTGACCATTTTTTGCCTTAAAGTTAGTGAGTTTTTGCACAGGGACTTCTGAACTAGGGCATTTTTATGCCTTAATTTGACTAACTAATTTCAAAATCTTTCCTTTTCGCATGGAATGGGCCAAATTTTTGAATACTGTAAAAATTGTTTGTGTAATGTCTTGCGCATTTTTTGGGCCTATCATAGATGCAGCAATTCACAAGAACCAACGCCAGCTGCGAGAACAGTTGCCGTCAGAGGTAAGTTTGACAGCTTTTAATGTGCGCCTATAGCAAAATGAGCGCAGCTGCGGATTTATAGTCGACAGGACCCTCATTTGAATCATTTAGGATCTAAACAACTTTGCTTGTTCAGCGCGGAAAATTGCGACGGAAAAGAAAATTGTGAGATTTTTGCCGTTTGAAAGACTTTGTTTATCGGTTATAGATCAAATACGATTAAAGGCACCGTCCACTTAAGATGGTGGCGAAATTATGATGGCATACTAGTGTGGGCCCCCACACTAGTGCGCTTCATGCAAGGCCCATGGTCGCCCCGCCCACTTGCGTGCTTTATCTCTCCTGCGCATGTTGCAGAAAGTTCTCTAAACAGGGTTTTTGAGGGTTTCACAGATTTTCGACTCCATACTCGGAATGAGGGCTTTCAGAAGGCCTGAGGGCGACAAAAACAGTGAATTCGAGATTTTGGGTGGACGGTGCCCTTAAGCATTTATGAAAATTAGAAGCGCCATCAAAAAGTTTGGGCTTTTTACTAAGGTATAAAAAATTGACATTGGAGCTTCATCCGAGCGCGGAAAGAAATGAGCGAGATTCCCAAAATTGCCCGGGAACTTTCTTTACAACCTAATAAAACATGAGAGATGTACGAGGTCATGATGAATTCTTGTTAATTCAATACGATCTATTAATTTCCAGACTCTCTCATGTCCATCTTTTTGCAAAGCCTTGTGTTATTCAGCGGGTTCATTCCAATATCTTTGTACGTTACTCTGGAAATGGTACAGATTGTACAAGGAATGTTCATCCAAAAGGTATAATAATTTAATTTATTTTTTATAGCTTGTGAATTGCTCAAATTTTACAATGCTAAGTATTGCTGTAGGCTTGAAAAAAGTACCGATCATCTATGAAGTACGGTGCGCATATCTCAATAGGATTTAGCGAGCACTTACTGGTCATGTATACTGTATGGCATGTGGAAAAGGAACAGCAGTCCGCAAAGGGTCTTTAAGTGGTACTCAGACATTCGTGGTTGACTCGCGCGCAAAGAAAACTTATGTAACGACAGAATGACTGGACTTGATTAAAATAGTCGCGAGAATTTCGGGACACCGGCATTGTGATCGAGAGGCTGCACGAGACAAATTATTCTTCCGCACTCAAGCAGGCCGGGAGAAAAACTGAGCTTTAGCGCAAGACCAGGTAATATTGCGAGTTCAATTACGGCGCAACTTGCGCTCATCACTGTTCTCTTAGTTATTTTTTGAAATGCATTGAATATCCATGTTTTCAAGTTTATACGCACTTATCAGTACTCAAATAGATGTTTACTGGGAACTTCTCAGAACATGTGTATACAGAAAATAGGTGAATTCAGATCTTCAAGTCATAGGAGTGCAAACAAATTGAAGCAAGAGCACCATAATAAATGGAATGGGAGTATAATAGTGGCTAAGTGAATTGAGAGGCCGTATTCACCATTGATACCTTGAGATAAATCCTACTTCCAGGTAGTTTTATCAGTCGTTATCAGTGATAAAACTATATGATAATGAGTGATAAAACTACCTGCAAGTAGGATTTACCTCAAGGTATGAATAATAAATAATAATAATAACGGCCTCGGATCTTCAGTTATAGGAGTGTAAACAAATAAACAAGAGCACCATAGTGAAATGGGATATAAAAATGGAAATTTTTCTAATTAGTGCGGTGATAATGAGAACATATTGGAACAAAAAAAGTGATAGGTAATGCTTATGTGTGATAGAATTGCTTTAGAGTGTTTCGAGTTCATATTCTTTGTCTTCATCCCTGATGTAATGGCTGTACGAATATTTCCATTCCAAGTAAATCTGGCTTGCACCATGCTATCAAAGCTCTTCGTGCGTTGTTCATCATTCTTTCCTAGCGTATGCCAGTAACTGAAAGCACGAGAAATCAGAGGGCTCTAGGAAAATCGCAGGAGCAGGCCTGAGTTAAAAAGCTATGGCAATTCGTTGTCTCTATGCAAGCAGGGACGAGGCTGTTACGAACAATCGTTTGCGTTCATTTTACTTATGTTTCGACTTCCTGCTCACGCCAGAGTGATAAATAATAATGCAATCAAAAAAAGCTTATATAATCTCGCGTATAGTGAGTGAACAGAAACTCGAAATATGTAAAAAAATTTATCGAAAGTTGAACCTGCAAGACTTCCAAAATTTTTTCAATTAGGCAAGATCGGCTAGCTAAAATGATATTTAATGAATTTGATAAGATCGCATATAAGAACAAGCTCTAAATGCATTTTCTCCTATGAAAATCATAGAATTCAGCATAGGGATGCACAATGGACAGGTGATAGAGAGAAAGGCAACAAAGAGCAAAAAAAGAAGTTATAGAGAAGAAAAATAGAATTAATGCTAAGAGTTTCGCTTTGTGATCAGAGATACTACAAAAAAGGGTTGCAATATTCAAAAATACGAACCAACCTGACTACTGAAGAGCCAAGTGGGATGTGAGAGTGCGTCTGAGCTGGCTCTGAAACGAGAAGAGAGACCCAGTGGTGATCCGAATAAAACCGACGAGTTAATGTTCATTGCGATCAACGATGTGGAGAGACTATCGAACCAGGGCGAACTCTGTTGCTTGCCTCTTAACGAGTCAAGCATGCGAATTGCTACCTGAATAGAGGGTTGAACGCATTTGTCATACACTTCCTAATGATCGACGAGATGATGAAGAAACGCGAACGAACGCTGAGAAGAACTGGAAATTGCTGCAACGAACAAAAACTCTTGTCGAACACTCAAATCAAGAAATGTCAATCGTAAAGGTGGGAGAAAAAAGAATCCTGACCGTTAACCCTTCAATGCGTAACAAAAAACAAAGAAACAGCGGTATAAGACAGAATGAAATCAAATTCTCACTAAACCAGCAAAGTATTAAACTACTTCAATAAGACAGATTCGAACAACAAATATCATAAACTAGATGCAAGATTCACCGGAAGATTAGCCCCTCCACCACTGACACAACGGCGCTACTTCTTTTTTAAATATAGACGCCCAACGCGAAGCATGCGTGATTACAGACAAGACCATTTTAGACGACTAATCGCGACCAAGACCGTTTTCGGGAGTTGCGACGGGTGTTATGAATTTCTCCCGCCTCGTTTTTAGTTTCGAGATTAGCCCGAACGTCGCAACAAAAGCGCATATGCCGCAGCAGTACTCATTTTTCCGCGATACCCCGTTTTGTGGGCGGATCTACTGCGCGTGTTAACCACGAAGTGTCTGAGTAGCCGCACGCTAAGTATAGGGTATTTGAAAAATCATGACGATGGCGCGACCGCGCGCGACACGCACGCATTTTCCGACGACCGCATTTTCTTTTTTTTCAACTTTATTTGAACGAGTTTTTTGCTTACGTATGATAATGTTTATATACTAGATGTGACTGAGCTGAGCGTTGGGCTGATGCCTGTTTGTATGAGCGTTTTATGCTCATGTGGGCGCAAAGACCGCAGTCAATCCGTCGTCAGATTCTAAGAATGAAGTATACATCGCTGACGTTCAGCCTACAGCGATATGGACGTTTTCGTGCAGCATGCCAGCTCCTTCTCTAATGAACGTCTGCACTATCGCCCGCACCACTAAGTCCTTGTTGTGTTGCGGCATGCATGTAGGCTAGTATTGCTTGCTTCCTTGCCATGGAGTAAGTGCGGCACTGCCCGCGTATGGGTACGGATCAGGAGCAGGGCCCGGCACGAGTCGGTTTCTAGGGTTTCTGAAAACAAAGTCTTCCCTGACTTTCGGAAGTTTTACGAAGTCTCCTTTGACCTACCTACTTAAAAGAAGATGAAAACAAGAAACATTTACTAGTGTGAAAGAAAAAACATGAGATAAGAGTGAAAATCCAAGTTAGAACTGAATATTACGCATGCACAAGCGTTTGGCATTGGAGCGCGATATTTGACAAAGCGATTCATGAGGAATGAGGCAAAAAAAGGAACGGCAATGACATGAAAATGTCTTCATGCTCAGGGATAGATTTTTGACCGAGGAACCCGTCCATGATAGAAAAAATCCAAAACTTATGTGAAGTGATAGAAATATATGCTCCAGACGATCTCAGATCTCTGGATCACCGTCTGGAGACGGACTAATTTCGGAAAAGGTAATACTTCACACAAATTTTCGAATCTTTTCGCATAATTCTTTTGCGAATAATTTTCTATGTATGCAGTCAATTTTGGTGCCATATAATTGTGTGCGCTGTAAACAAACAATTTGTTTATTTTAGCCTTGTTTTCGAATCGCGCGCACTTTTCGCCATACACGTAGAGCATGTCGATCGTGTGATAACCTGTCCGAAAAGCTTGTGTTCGACTTAATGGCGCTTATTCTTAGTGCTTGGTCTCGACTCGTCAGAAACGATATGCTTTGCCTTTGCTCCAAAAATAAAGCCAGCCTGCTTCTACATGATCTGTGCCGGGCCCTGGTCAGGAGTCACGATTTTTCGCGAAGCGATGCCACCATTACAACGCTCAGCTCCCATCAATGCTCTAATCGCAATGTCTTATGGCATCGAGTCATTTATCTGCTCCCCCCTCCCCCCCCCCCACTATGGCGCCATAGCACAGAACAGTTTTTGTGGGGCACAAAATTTGGTCGCGGCGAGTGGCCCCCGCACGCGGTGTCCTGACCCGTAGCCCCATTTACAAGGCTTATCAAACACAGTGTCGCTTGCATCAGCATCTGCACCCCCGCGCTGGACTCTGTGTCTCTTTTCAACATGCTCTCCAATCACTTCCAATCAATTGAGGCTCCGCCTTTCCCACGCTCGCCCTGAGAAAGTGATTAGAAAGCACATTTGCGGAAGAGGTGCAGAGTTCAGCGCAGGAGATGCTGACACAAGCGACACTGCGTTTGTTAAGCCACGCGTAGCGGTTTATGATAACGAAAGAATGCAAAGGACAGTGTTCTAGAATGGAAAATTATCGATAGATCAACTGTCTCCAATGGTCCGCCTACTTTATGATAAACGAGCATCCTATAGATCTAACGTATAGTGCATTTGCGGAAGTGAGATGACAAAATGTGCTCGTGAAAAGCCACGCCTGAAATGTCGGCACATTTGCATGCGCACGACTTAACAGACCTTGAGTCAAACGTAAAATCTCCTTGACCTGTTACATAGATTCTCTACAATGGATAGGGAATGGATAGCTGCGCGAATGCGGCGCCCGGGGAGATAAATCAACCCTGTGCTTTATGCTCCCTGCGATAGAACCGCCTGCGTGCCCTTGGTCCACGCTCGCAGTGGACCATCACTGTTGAATCTTTGAGTTGGTGAGTTTTCCAAACACGAAGTGACCAATTACCCTTCAGCCCTTCAAGATAGTACGTATCCTTTCTGGAAGGGTATTTGGCTAAGTATTGATTCCTTGTAGGTCACCTAGTGGTTTGGATATTGGGCAAATAAAAAGACTTTGATCAGTTACTCTTAGGGCTCGATTGTCAATTAATCTTGGCATCGTCCATATAACTTTGTATGATATTTGAGCAGTGGCTAAGATCGGTATCGATCTTTATTTCTCGGCTAACGTTTCGGAGTACAACTCCTTCTTCGGGGCCTGAAAGATCAAAAACTATGCGAAACTGTTCTTGTAAGCACTCAGTCACCTAACACATACTTTTCAACACAAGGTAGTTGCAAGATGAAGACAGAGACCGTAACCAAGCTAATGCTTACCTCAGTAGCCAGCAATGGAGACTACGAGCAGACCACCTAATGGATAGCGCCGTTACTGTGTACTGCTATACCACTATTTATACAGCACAGATGACCTGACCTGACCCAGACCCGTAGGTCAAAAGCCACAAAGAGCTTGATACGGTGCTAATTCGGTCGTCAGGGCAATGCACTCTTCTTTGCGGTTTATTTTTGGGGTTTTTGATGCTATCCAAAATGCCTCCAACGTCTTTCACGCTACTATATCAGGCTCCTGCGATAAGATGGTGATCGTCATGGCGTTGCCTGCGGTAAGCACCTAGAGGGGTAAACAATTTCGATTTTTCGAGCCCGTCTAGGTGCTCCTTGACCCGTACGCACTAGGGCCTGCCGCTTTCCCCTACATACTGATCTCCACATGTCTGGCACGTAATCAGATATACTACGCCAGACTCCATGCAATCCCCCTGCTCTCCAAATGGACAAATGACGCAGTTTGGACTTGTGCATAACCGGTCATAGGCGCGATTTCGTATAAGTTGTTTCCTAAGGTTAGGGGGTGGTATGTCTACGACTCTTACGTCATTTGCGAGCCCCGCGTGCTGCAGACTTTTCCTGATTGCTCTGCTAAATTCGTCACAAATGAAGGGAAAAGGAATTTTTGGAGGCTACTCAAGAGTGCGCGATCTACGGCCTGGCAAATGATTGCACTTGAACTGATTGCCTGTTATGGGGTAACCGTTAGACTGTGCGATCTGTGTAGCCAGATTCATCGATACGATGCATACCTGCTCGTTTGAAGAGACCATCTTAGCGGTTCTGAACATGTTGCTTACTACGGATCTCTTAGTGCTCCAAGGGTGTGCAGAGCTATAATGGACTAGTATATTTTTGCTGCTAGGTTTACGAAACCATTTGGTCTAGTATACCCCATTGGATAAGTATACCTGCATTGAGGAAGGCAAGCCAATTATCGCTGGGTGTCTCGCGGGTGGATTTGATATTGATCAGTGTTGATCAATGAATGCAAGCAATTGAATTAATACATTTGCAAAAGTCCTTGACCTTTCAGGATGAAAAAATGTTAGACGACACTGGCAAGGGTCCTGATGTAAAGATGTTTTCGCTAAATTCTGAACTGGGCAATGTGAATATTTTCTAATAAATCTGTCTTATTGTCTAATTTGGGTTTGATTAGGTGAAGTACGTAATGTCCGATAAAACCGGTACCTTGACTCAAAACTGTATGAGATTTCGCATGTGCTCCGTTGGTGGCGTGAAGTATGCTAATCGGAAGATGAGACGGGATAGAATTTTTTCTCCTAAGAAATTGATTAGTCATATGAATAGCAATGAAATGGTGGGTGCTTAGTATTGAAAAATTAATGAAAAGGACTTTTTTACGATTAAGAAGAACGCGGCACAAATACGCGAGTTCCTGACCGCATGTGCTATTTGTCATACTGCTTCTACAGACAAAAATTCAAACGATAGCGAACGTCCTTACTACCATGCAACATCGCCAGGTGAGTAGAGAAGTTTTTTTCAAAGAACAGCATGGCAGATAAAGAGTGTCACATATTAATACATAAATGTTGATTTCTTTGTTTTCCCACGAATTCAGGGCGTTTGAGTCGTCGATGCGCTCGGAACCTTTATGCCCGCAGAACTTTTCGCAGCCGACCTACTCAGACACTCGCTGCGACGGCGGGCGCGCCATAATAGCGCTACAGTGCGAGCGGCGCGCTCTATTTGATGCTGCCGTGCGAGCGGCGCGCCCTATTTGAGGCTGCCGTGCGAGCGGCGCGCCACAGTTGAGGCTGCAGTGCGAGCGGCGCGCCATCGTTCGAGGCCGGCGAGCGGCGCGCCTTATTACGGTCGCCGGCGCGCTTATTCGACACTCGGCGCGGCGGCGCGCGCGCCACTATAACACTGTATTGCGAACGGCGCGCCCTAGTTGAGAGTGCGAGCGGCGCGCAATCTATCAGTGAGTGGCGTGCCATGATATCTTCCGCATTTTCACACGCTGTAAGCGCAAGCGATACCTGCGTGAAGTACGACGCAGTGTTTTGGGTGCTTTATCGCCAATTCATTAAAGTTATCGCTGTTTCGCAATGGAGTTGTCTCATTAACACAAGTGGGATTCTTCAAGTTCTTCCATTGAGACTCAGTCCTCATAAGCACCCCGAGTAGGTGCCGAGTTCGAATTCGAGTTTGGGAATTCGAATTTTTGAATTTTTGAAATTTGAATTTTCAAATTTCAGAAATTTGGAAACTTTGGAAACTTCAAGTTCATATTTGAAATTGAAGCCATTGTTTGCCTGAAATTGAAGGTTGTCATCAGGTCTACCACAGATTCACCGTGATTCGCAGTGCTTAATGCGAATGGCAATTTTGATACCGTGCGAGCGGCGTGCCATTATCGTATGGCGCGCGCCCCATCTACTCACGGCGCGCGTACCATTTACTCGCGGCGCGCGTGCCATCTACTCGCGGCGCGCGCGCTATTTGACGGCCGGCGGCGGGCGACATGAGGGGCCGCACGCATAAGACGCGCGCGCCGCCGCAGCGAGTGTCTGAGTATGTGATCGGGGGTCATGAGTCATGACGTAGGCATATGCCCGCGGTAACGTTGTGGCGCCGCGCACGGCTCGACGGGGCGCGATCATCGTTCCCGTCACGCAGACATTTGGAAATTATTGCGTTTTGCTGGAGACGCTAGCAGGTCTGCTGCTGCTGTCCGGCACACTGGCAGCACTGGCGATCGAGTACGTCCAAAGTGGTGTTGACGCCGCCTGCCTGTGGATACATGGAAAGGGTTGAAATGCCCGCCAAATGCATTTTACATCAACAGCTGATCAGCACTTATCGACAAGACACAGAGCGACTACTTTTCCTGCTATCTCATCCTACAGTTTGCTTCGATGCAACAGGAGAGTGAGTTCCTTTCTATGAAGCATATCAATCTAATCCAACCACCTTTTGCTGTTGCTGTAGCTTTTCTTAGGTATGAGTTTTGAACAGAAGTTCATCTCTGATCTTTTCCTTGCCTTATCTTTTTACTTTCTTACAATTTATGCGACTCTTATTAAATCATTTGCTGTTTTTGCCGTTCATCAGGTGTACACCAAATGCCTTCCTTTTACTTTAGTGAGAAAACAATGTAGTGCTGCGGCTAGGGAGCGCTCGTTACTTGTGGAAATGTCAAATAAGAATCGCCACGATGTGGCGTTAGAGTAAATCGTTCGGGAAGCAATAGGAAAGTAAAGTCGTCTATATTTGTGCACCCTGTATTCAATTATCCTAGATTTTGCTTCATGTATCGTAAGACTGTTTCACTCATTGTCCTGCCGCGCGGCGCCTGCGTTATTGACGCTCACAATAACGATGCGCACCCCTGCGGCTAATAGAATGGCACCTAAAATTCGTGATTGTTTTACATTCATTTCTCAAGAGAATTCCAATATTTTATTTGAGGCTTGCGCCTAATAGCACATTTCTAAAATTCCTGATTGTGTTACATTCATTTTTCGATAGAATTCCATTATTTTATTTGAGGTTATTTCCATGCAAAGGTTCCTGAGTGTTTTATAACCCCTAAAATAGACAACTGATAAATGTACTCTTCCCTAACGTTCCGCATGCTTTCTGGGAGTTCTAACCTTCCACGTCTAGCACGATGGTGGCGGTCGGGCAGGAGGCAGCAATGGCTTGCCGCTTTGCTTGTGGAAGTACCTAAGGAGCTTTAGATTTCCTCGCGCCTTCAACTACTTCTTGCCTTGAATCACCTGAGATGACCTATGCCCAATTGTTCACTTTCAAGCATGGTAGATTGCAAGTATGGGTTTCATGTTTTGATTCCATAGCAAATAAAATAATAAATTTTCAAAAGTCTCGTAGAGCCTCATTCAACATCAAAGTCGCTCTAAAAATATCAGTTTTCAAATTGATTTAGACGCATAACCTGGTCTGTCAGATCTTCAATTCGGAAATTTAACACATTCTTGTAATTTTTTCTCATATCATTTGATCGAAGAGAAGGGCTAAGACTAGTAGCACACGTCTTCTTTTTTACGGCAGAATCCCTTCCTGCTAAATGGATTTTGAGGAAAAGTGCCTTGAACCTGATTCGATAAGCTGGAACAGATTATAGTGAGACTGGATAAAATCGCAAGGTTTTCAATTCTATCCAGAATAAGTTACTCTTTGAAAAGATTTTCGTCTGATTCCCTTGCTTGTGAAGCTCATTAAAGGTGTTAAGAGTGATTATAGGCGCGAGGATGTCTGCAGCTCCCCAGGCACTTCCAGAAGCAAAGGTGGCTAGCCCTTGCTGTTTCCTGCCTGACGTCCCACGATGGTAAACCTGCAACATGGCACGGCGCTATCTGCATAGCTATGATAGACGTTATAATGCTCTTTCAGCAAGTCTAGAGATCAGCAATCACAAGTTCGCAGTTGTACACTCACAGAGGAGCCCATCGCGAAAGAGGCTGTTCATCGTCATCCTCGTACTGATTTAGCAATTCTCTCTGCCTTGCAACTTTTTCGCTGCCCGCGCTACTCTCATTTCCATCGTTGGTCCGGATCGGGCGAGTGTGAAGCTTTTGCAGCAATCAATGCACGGTTGTGCCGCATATTCACTTTGCAGCATCACCCTCTTCTTTACGGTGGTGTGACGACTTTGGGAGTTTTATATATGCCCAGGTGTTCGGCATCTAAGCGAAAGGCAAGAATGCACACTTGTCAATAAGCAATGATTTAACCCATGTTTTTCTCCTATTCTGGTGTCGAATACTCAACGACATGTATTTCCACTATGATTGCTTACTCTGGTGTGCTGAAACGTTGACGCACATGACTAGCAAATTCTAACCTTGGCTTTTAGAGGCCACGGGACCTTTCGACTTGCTTAGATGCTTATCTACTACTTCCTAGACCCTTGCAAATGACTTGCTTTTACAATAAAATGTTGCAATCTGTGACCATCCTGTCAAAGTCAGTGTCAGTCAGAAATCAAGCATGTGATGATGCAAATCATTAGAAAGCGCACTCGAAAAAGTTGTGAAAATCGCGTCGTCGTCAGTGAATTAAGTTTGCATCTGTTTGTCCAGCTTCGTGCTGGCCGACGCCGTACTGCGGTCAGGAAATGGGCGCTGGCCAGGTGCACAATTTTTCAAAAAGCACAGTTGTATCCAGTTTTTAGTTGAGTTCTCATCAAGAGACAAGGGAGCTACAGAAGCGATTCAAAATGCAATCATTATAGCATCTGTTACAGCTTGCTGTTCTAAAGAGTGATGTTGATCAAGCATTTGCAGACGAGCATGCATTGCTAGATATGGCCGCTGATGCTGGCTTCGTTTTCAAAAAAAGACCACCAGGAAAATGTGTTCTCAGCATAGTAAGCGGCATCTCAAAACAATAGTTATTAAGTTGATTCTAAAATTTTCAACGATTTCTATTTCAATCCGGAGCTATACTAGAGTACGATCTAGTTGCTGTGCTAGAGTTCGATTCAAATCGAAAAAGAATGTCCGTGGTGGTCAGGGAACCTTACGGAAATTACAAACTGTATATCAAAGGGGCGGTTAGTAAGTGATATATGCAGCAGCCTCAGCCTCCTCCTATTACTGTCTTAGGATCAGAAAATCTTTGAAAGATTGAAAAGCGCTTCTTCTAAAGAGCTGAAAAGGACTGCAGGTCACCTGCAACAGTTTGCAATTGGCGGTGAGCAAACGTTACGGTATCCCAAAATCTTGTTCATCTATGTTTCCGCTTATGTGCAGGTTACCGAACGCTCTGTTTTGCCATCAGAAACATTGACAGTGCGACTTTTGCTAGATGGTATAAAGAGTACCTTGCAACTGTCAATGAAGTAGGCGGAAGGAAAGAAAAGCTTGCCCAACTTGCAGAAGAGATTGAGAGGGTATGCCAGGTTAGATCTGAATTTTCAGAAAAATCAATGGTGTTGATTCAGGATCTTACATTGATTGGAGTGTCGGCCATCGAGGATCGGCTGCAAAAATCGGTTCCAGAAACTGTAGCAAGGTTATTATCAGCTGGAATTCGCGTTTGGGTTCTTACTGGAGACAAATTGGAGACTGCTGTCAACATTGGTATTGTTTAATTACTACACTTATCTGTAATTACAAATTTTGAGAAAGCAGCACACTACGTGCGACTACGCGAATGCATTAGGGCTTTGGCGCTGCTGCATAATCCATAGAAATCATGGAAGCGGCAACACCACTCAAGTGGGAATTTGATGATCGGGTCGAGTTAAATAACAGTAATTTCCAGAGCGGATTGAATTGAAAACTATTACACAATCTATATTTGTCGAAGCATCATTTTCTCCAGAATTTTATGAAAGGGGCGTGGGGTAGGCCTCCCTTAAAAATATTCTTCAGACAAGGCCAATTTGAATTTCAAAGATTATTTTAAAAAGAAAATTACCTCTTGTACAAATGGAAACAAGTACACTTTGGTCTGACCGTACTACGTGAGTTGGGATAAGTGTAAAAGTTTTGTGGTGTATCCTTCTTCGCTAACTATGCGATTTTGATCGAAAATCCGATGAAATGCTTCCCATAGGTCCCGGACAGACTTCACGCGACTTAATCGTCGCGATCTAATCGCCAAGATTTCCATTCATTTTCATTTCACATTCAAAAATTTCGAGCTGGAAAAGTATCACAACCGAATGCAAGTTGATCGGCATGGATGATGTTGTAACAGTTGTCCTGTTGCGATTCAGTCGCGACGATCAAATCGCGTGAAGTCTGCCCGGGGGGCCATAGATAGATTCCGTAATTACATAGTATAGTATGTAATTACATAGTATAGTATGAAGCTCCGGAAAGCAAAGAATCGCAGTGATTCGTAGTAACTGTGCGTACTGCGTACTCTACTTGGATCGAGTGTGTTTTATTTCAGACTAGCTTGCTTACTCGGCTCCGCTCGGCCCTGTCAAAACACTGTAATAAAGGTTCAATCCCTATCCCTGTACAGCCTTTCCCTGCACCCACTTCTGCACTTCATTTCCCGTTCCCTGTGTTGTTTTCGAAATCAGCATGCTCGATTACCTTTCTGTGCCAACTCCCAGCCCCCTAAGTGAACTCCGCAAAAAAAACGATAAAAATCGATAAAATCGATATCGATGATCGATGACGAAAAGTAGCCTATGACACGCCCCCCTACCCCCGAAGTGTATGTGTGACAAATTTGGTCCAAATCGGTTCAGAAATAAACATTTCTTTTACGCACATACGTACAGACATACATACAACACATTCAACTTTATATATAAGAAGATTCGGAATCGCCATGCCCGCTTACCCCCCTGTGCCAACTCCCAGCCCTGTAGCTCAAACTTTGCAAAACATCGATAAAATCGATAAAGTAATCGATAATTCTGGAAAGTAATATTGCATTCGTAATCATTGCATTCGTAATCAGCATGCTCGATTACACCCCTGTGTCAACTCCTAGCCCCTTAGGTGAACTCAGCAAAAAATCGATGACCAAATCGGTTCAGAAATAAAAATTTCTATTCCGCACATACGTACAGATATACATACAGACAAACACACATTCAGCTTTATATATAAGATTTCGAAGAAATAAATCAGCTTTGCAAGCTCTGTTCCTGATTTGTGCAATATTAGGGCAGTTGAAATTTTATGATAAAACAAAACTGAATTGAGATCTCAAAACTGATAATTGAACGACGATAGGCATATGATAAACATGAAATCTATATGCTTCACAATAGAAAAAATAGCCCATAGTGAAATATACAAAGATAACGAAAAACTAAATCGAGAGAATGACTGGAAAGATAATCGCGCTTGATAGTTTGGCTTTGATCCCCAGGTATCTTCAATTTTTATGAAAACAACCAAGGATGTGTGAGAAAAATAGAACGGCAAGTTAGCAAGTGAACACCAGTTGCTAGCACTTGCTTGGATAAGTTACAGCATAGATTTCATAACAACATTTCTGACCCTCGCACCGCTTTTGAGCACTTTTACACCTTTTTTCGTTTGCTCGCGCGATAGGGCAACGTAGACCTATCCGTGGGAAAAGGCATCAGTTTCAAGATAAATGCCCACGTTTGAAAAGCTTTGCCCTCAAACTTCGTTGATGGTCGTGTGGAAAGTTAACTGTATGGAAAACTGGCGTCGTCGCACTCGAGTTGGAACACCTTAATCAGTAAAAAAAACTTGATTACTGATATGAGTGCAAACTGACCCTTTCGTTCTCCAGTGGCTATGAGAGAGCCAGGAACGCAACGTTCAAAAAAGATGACCAATAGGCGTGTTCCATTCGGCCTAAAGTAGAGTCTACCGCGCGAATTTATCGTCGCGATTTCTCACGAGACAACTGTTAACAAGATCATTGCATGCCGATCTTGTTGCATTTCGGTTGTGGTAGTTTTCCAACACGACTAATCATGACTAACCACCGCAACTGAAATACAAGAAGATCGGCATGCAATGAACTCGTAACACTTGTCTTGTAGCGATGAATAGCGACGAGTGAATCGCGTGAATCTTGCCCTAGGCCGTACAACCTTTTTGACGTCCATATTCCTAAGCAATATCACAATCGGCCCTTTCCTCAGTCGTAGAAAGAAACTGTAGATTTCCAATGATGCAGATTACAATACTATAAAAATCATGCGAACAAACTCTCGCTCCATCTAATAGTATGGCATTTCACTTTATAAGCTACAATACGCAAGTTTCAACAGCAATTCGCATAAACAAATGCAAATTGAAGATGCCTCTTTTCTCGAATTATTTCTGATCAAAATCTACAATTCGCATGCAGACAGATTTCTGCGAGGAGGGAAGCTGGATTTTACCTCTAAGGATATCGCCCTTTTTCCATTCTATAGCGGGCGGAGCTGCCGGCGTATGCCAACGTATGCGCGTGTCAGTTTTTGGAAGCTAGAGAGTAAAGAAAAGTAATGCTTTACTGTTGGAGAGTAACATTTGTTGTTTCGTTTTGTTTGTTAATGGCTTGTGATCTCTAGGATCTATTGGTATTGTATTGACCTATGCGCGGGATCTGAGAGCTATATAAGGCGCTCCCTGCTAGCTAAGTCATTCGTCCGTCTCGTCTTATCTTCTGTTCTTATTCGTATTCGATCTATCAATAAATCTACTATTCTACAAGTGTCCAGGATCCACTACAAGTATAAGTACAAGTAGAAGGCTACAACAAGTGGTGATCAGTGCCGGATGACCCACGTGGAAAGACAAGTAACGTCTTGAACGGGTTGAACAAGTACTTCTTCGGGAAGGATAACGTCCAAGTCGAGCACTCCACTGGAGCAGATGTTCGCTCAGCTGATGCAGCAAAACGCTGCACTCCTGAAGGCGAGCCAGGAGCAAATGGAGGCGAACCAAGAGCAAATCGCTGCACTTATGAAACGAGCCAAGAACAATCTGTGGCTCTCCTGAAGTCGAACCAGGAATAATCTGAGCGGATAAACAGCCTCTGAAACGGATGGACCATTCAATCGCTGCTACCATAGCGAATTACTCAGCGCTTTCGTCGCGATTGTCGTGCTTCAGCTACGATCCGGACAGCGGTTGCACCTTCGAGACCTGGCCATCGAGATTTGAAGAAATTGTCCCAGCGTCGATGCCAGGGAAAGACCGGTGTACCCTCCTGTTCGCGAAGCTGGATAACGCTGCACATGCTAAGCTAAGAGGACACCTGACGCCGAAATCACCAATAGAGCTTTCGTTCGAAGAGCTGACCAAAGCGCTGACGTCGCTTTTTGGTGAAAAGACGACGCTCTTTCGACGTCGATGGGACTGTCTCCACTTCGTAAAGGACGTCCCTAAAGACGTCGGATCTTATGCTGCTCGACTCAACAGAATGCTGGTCGATGCCAAAGCAGACGAAATCAAAGGTGAACCACTAAAATGCCTACTTTTCGTCATGGGTCTGCAGTCGCCGTGCGATTTGCCAATCCGTGCCCAACTACTGAGCAAGCTGGACGCGGAGGCCGATAGCTACAAGCTGCAGGACCTGATCGCGAACTACAACGCGTACCAATCCATGCAGAACGGTGCTGTCCTCATCAAGTCCTTAGCGCCTACGCCAATTCAAGCTGAAGTCGTTGCCCCCATCCGGAAGAAGAAGCAACGTCGGCCACTGCCGCAACGTACCAGACGCCCATCTGAGCGTTCTCGCCGTGACGATGTGTGCTACATTTGTGGAAACAAAAGGCATTGGACCAGCAACTGCCCGTTAATGGACCGACCAGTCCGCCATTCCATTAAAAAAGTTGTAAAGTGAAAGTGCTGAACTCCCACTGTCATACGTAAATGTCAAGCTGAAGGACTTGAATGTGAAGATGCAACTCGACACCGGTGCCGACATATCGACAATTAGCAGACGTGGATGGAATTAGGATCGCCAACTCTGAAGGTTCCGCCTGCCGAATTGAGAGCTGCAAATGGATCACAAATAGAATTTTAAAATAATTTTTGGAGTTCATGAGACGCCGTTCACATGCAATGGTTTCGATAGCCAAAGATTATTTTACGAAACCAAAGACTTGTTTGTTAGGAATGGACATGCTGCAACAGCTGCCGCCCTTTCGAGATGCCCTTTCTGCTGTTTGCTGTGTTGTGGATGCCTCTTCACCACTGGACGCCGCCTCTCAGCTGAGTTCCCAGTATAGGGGTCCGAATCGAATAGAAATTCGATCATTCGAATAAAACATCCGAATATATTCGTATTCGAAGTTCGATATTCGGAGTTCTTCCATTTTCGAATAATATTCGAAACCCGAATAATTGAGAAAACGGGGTTTCGAGTAAAATTTGGAACTCAAATAATCCAAAAAAACAGGGTTTCGAATAACATTTGAAAACTCGAATAATCAAAAAACGAAGATTCGAATATTATAAAACTCGAATAATCAAAAAACGGAGTTTCGAATAGATTTTATTCGAATGTTTTATTCGAATGTTTATTCGAATTCGTATTCGACTGAACTCCGTACTTCAAAGCTGAGTATCAAGCTCACTTCGTCCGCGTTTTTTTCGTAAAACTCGGTAATGCATCTTTTGCAACCGTTATGACCTTTGAACTGTATGGAGA